CTCCGGGCCTGGGAGGCCGGCTGCACTAAGGGGACCCAGGAGGCCCCCTCCCCACCGCGAAGAGCCGGGACTCAGGCCCTGCAGTGAAAAGTTAAGTCCTTCCCAACTCCCGCTCCCGCGCTGAGAAATCTACTTCCCCAGAATGGCAGTCGAGATATTGGGGAAGGTTGTGGGTCTGCAGTAAACTAGGCGGGACATTTATTGTCTTTAACCAGAGCTTCACGTGGAGGCTACCACCGCCGGCACTGCTCTGCGTGCGTTCTAAATAGGAGCTCATTTATCTTCACGTTTCACTTGGGGTTCAGTGGTGATCCCCTTTGTACACATGTGGAAACTGAGTCTCAGAGAGAGGAAGCTACTTGTTCAAGGTCATCATTTGAACCCAGGTAGCCTGTCTTCAAAGTCTGACTTCTCTATCTCCTCACTGTGAGAGACAGTAATATTCAAAATGAGAAACTGTTCAGGTCCAGTGAAACAGCTTGGTGGCCGGCCCGCAGGCTCAGTTTGAAACCCATGCCCCAACCTGAGGGTCTGAGTCCTTGTCTGGAGTCTTGGAGGGAACACAGACCCCCATGCTGGTGGGAATGATGGGCAACATGTATAAAGGACCCTCTAGGCCTCAGTGCTTTATTTTTATTTTTTAATTGAAATTTAGTCGATTTACAATGTTGTGTTAGTTTGTGGTGTACCGAATAGTGATTCAGTTCTATATATCTATATATTCCTTTCAATGTTCTTTTTCAATTTGAGTTGTGCTAGACAGTTGGACTTTGTTGTTTATCCCAGTGCTTTTATTTTTATCTTTATTTTATTGACCTTCTTACTCTGCAAAATCCTCTGAGGCAGGGACTTGTACTGTCCCAACTCACAGGTGAGGAAATTGAGGCACAGAGAGGCAGCCACTTGCCCAAGGTCACACAGCCAGTAGGTGGCAGAGCTGAGGATTCAAATTCAGGCCATCAAAACCCAGAGCTCAGGCTCTTGGGTGAGCTTTGTGGCCAGGCTTTGAGGGAATGGGCCAAAACTGTGGGGACCCTGAAAGATTTTTTTTAGCCAATGCTAAAAGCCACCCAGGGTGACTTTGCCTCCTCCAGGGGATGTTTGGCAGTGTTTGGAGACATTTTTGATTGTCACAAAGGGAGGGGGTGCTACTGGATAGAGATCAGCTGTGATGCTAAAAATCCTACAAAGCACAGGATGCCCCCTCTTCCCCAACAAGGAGTCATCCAGCCTCCAGTGTCAGTAGAGAGGAAGTTAAGAAACTCTGGTCTCTGCCAAGCCTGACCCAGCCCCCTACCCCCAGACACCCTACCTGGACCCCTCTCACTGTCTCACTTTCGCTCCATCTGGTCCCTCCCATGTTCTGACTCCCTCCACCCCCAGATCTGAGTCTTCTGACCTCTCTCTGCTTGTAGCTCCATTTACCCATTTCTCATCCTCTATCAGAAGTATCGATGATCCCCTCAGATCTTCAGAGCCCCCTGTCTCCTCTCCAGGGGAGCAGGGACCAGAGGCAGGGTTGGAGGGAGGCCCAGAATGCTTCTCCAGGAACTTAGAGGACGGAGTCCCTCGGTGCGTCTAGAGACCTGCTAGGTTATGGGTGGAGGGGAATTGACTCTGGGAGGACAGAGGTGGGGCCTTCTCCCTCCTTGGGCCCCTAAAGTAGAGGGAGTCTCAAAAAGGCAGCCCTTCAGCCAGTCCCAAACTTTCTTTTTCTTTGCCCACACAGTTTTGAATTCTGATTTTGTATGCCACTAGCAGGCACACACTTCCTCCCCTTAGCCACAGTCCCCGCCACGCCCTTTCGTATTCCCCTGGACTCATTTCTCTCTTTTATTTCACATTGGCTCTTGAGTTGGAGACACTCCCACACCCCGGTCTGTGGTGATAGGATGCCAGAATTTGGAACAGGATCGGGACTGCATAGTGGGAAGGATCATGACTGATGCCAAAGCTGATGGCCTGTTAGATTCTTGGCCATGTCCTCCTCTCCCACCCCTACCCACCAAGCCAGGCTCCTTCACGCTTGTTTTCTTCTGAGAAGAACATTCCAACACATCTGGCTTCCTGGTCTCCCGACCTATACTGGGCAGCTTTAGGGCACCGATCAGTAACAGGTCCAGGCTGGTCCATGAGCCTCTCTCCCAACTTCATCACCGCCAGGCACAGAGCAAACACTGACAATATTGAGTTATACCAGTGGTAATAGCTAACATTGATTAGGCACTCACTGCATGTGAGACACTGTCTTTCATGACTTCCATGCATGATCTCATTTAATAAATGTCCAAAGCAGCATTTCTCCAACACTTTTCAACTCGATTTATAGGCAGAAATACATCCACTTTCTGTATAACTTGATATATATTCACTATGCATCAATAAAATTTTCACAAAACAATATTTTCCTTTGACATCATGATTTTAAAAATGATATTCTATTTTTTTTAATGGAGGTACTAGGGATTGAACAGTTGCAGGTAGAAGGAGTGACTATACAGGGACACAAGGAAAGTGTGGGGGGGTGATAGAAATGGCTCAAATCTTGATTATAGTGGTGTACAATCGTGCATACTTGTCACAACTCACCAAACGCTACACCTAAAAAGAGTGACTTTTATGGCAGGTAAATATATCTCAGTAAATTTGAATAAAACACAGTAAGGTCCGCAAGTTGATTTCACCATCCATGGTTTGTTCATATGGGTCCTGACCCATTGTTTAAAAAACACTGGAAGGAAAAGAAAGGGGAAATGCATGATTGACTGAATGAGGAAAACGAAAATGAGAGGGAGGCTGAATTAGTGTCCAATATGTAAAGTAGGGAGATGACACATGAGACCTGCATTTTCTGCTTCTCTTAGGATAACGAAGGATCTAGCCCTGGAGGGAGTTTGAGAACCCAGACAAGACTTTGCTGGAATCTGGTGTCCCTTCCCCATCAGCCCAGAGCTGGGCACTCAGAGGGCACTCACCCTCTGATGACACGGTGTGACTCAGAGGAAATGGAAGGTGCAGGGGAGACAGAGCCCCAGAGCCCTGGGAGAGGGCAGGCCACCACGGGTCACCGCATCGGAGTGGGGGAGGGAGTGACAATGGGAAACGCAGAAAGGAAAGGGAACTGAAAGACAGAAAACCGGGGGAGAGTCAGTGCAGGGGCTGCCCGGGCATGTCCATGCCAGGTGCCCAGGGCTTTCTTCTCGCTCCGGGTCCCCCACCAGATTCGTGGCGAGCGTGGTCAGGTGTACATGCTCCTGGACTGTGTCCCATCGGTGGGCCAGTTAGCAGGAACCTGTCACAGGTGTGACTTTGTGATTGTTTGTTGGGAGGTCAGTTTTTTTTCTGTCTGACTTGATCTGTGTCTGTGAGTGTCAATTTCTGACAGTTTTAATGTGTCCACTGTGAGCTGGCGTGGGTGTGTCTGTGTGTGTCCCTGTAGACATGTCATCTAGATCAAGTCGTGTGTCCAGGTGTCCCTGTGACAGGTGTTGTGTGTGCGTGTGTGTGGCCGGCTGCACCTATCAGGAAGTTTCTATTTCCTGAGAAGCTCTCAGCCTGTGTCTTTGTGGGCCCGCCACTGTGTGTGTGTGTTGTTGGTACCGGCTCAGTGAGG